TTTATGCTGTGCCTTTTATTTCTGTGACTTATTCATTCTGAAACTGCAAGCCTGTATTTCCCACTCCACTTCACCCATTTTACATCCCCACCCCCCCAACACAGACACTTCCCTCTGGCAACCATCAGTTTGTTCTCTATTTACAGGTCTGAATCTGCTTTTTGCTTGTTTGTTTTTTAGATCTCACATATGAGCAATATCATATGGTTTCTGTCTTTCTTAATCTGATTTATTTCACTTAGTGTAATACCCTCTAGGTCCATACATGTTGCAAATGGCACAATCTCATATGGCTGCTGTATCTATCTATCTATCTATCTTTATACACACATACATATCACTTCTTCCTTATCCATTCATCTGTCTATGAACTCTTAGGTTGCTTCCATGTCTTGGCTATTGTAAATAATGCTGCAATGAATGTAGGGGTGCATATATCTTTTTATATTATTGTTTTCATTTTCCTTGGGTAAATAGTAGTGGAATTATTGGATCATATGGTATTCCTGTTTTTAATTTTTTGAGAAACTTTCATTTTTAAAGGATAAATTTTTGGAATAGAGAATTAGTTCACAATTCTTTTATTTCAATACATTAACTATGTCATCCCAGTGATTTCTGGCTTTCATGGTTTCAGAGTAGAGATAGGCTTTTAATCTTATTGAAAAATCCTTGTACTTGATGAATCTCTTTTCTCTTTTCTTTTGCTGTTTCCAAAATTCCCTGTTTGTCTGGTTTTCAGTAGCTTGATCAGGATGATATTAGTCTCCAAGTTTATCCTACTTGGAATGTGTTGAGCTTTTTGAATGTGTAGATTACTGTTTTTCATCAAATTTTGGAAACTTTGATCCTTATTTCTTTAAATATTTTTCCTATGCTTTTCTCTTTCTTCTCCTTCTGGAGCACACATTATTCCCATATAAATATGCTTGATGGTGTCACATACATCTTTGAGACTCTTCATTTCTCTTTATACTTTTTTATTTTTGCTTCTCAAGTTGAATAATCCCACCTGACTTATTTTAAAGATAAGTTATTTGATTTATATTCTCTATTTGGTAAACTTCATTTTCATACTTACTTTTAGTTCTTTATATGTAGTTTTCCTTATTTCTTTGAACATATTTAAAATAGTTTATTTAAATTCTTTTCTCTGGGAAATCTAATGTCTGGGCTTCCCCTTAGGAACAGTTTTTATTGACTGTTCCCTGCCACCCCCCATCCCCCTGGTGGGTGGTTCACACTTTCTTGTTCCTTTGCCTGTTTCATAATTTGTTGTTGAAAGCTGGATATTTTAAACAATATAATGCAAAAACTCTAAAAATTTAATTTTCTCCCCATCTCAGGGCTTGTTGTTATTGCAAGTTGTTGAGTAGTTTTTCTAAACTGTATCTGTAAAATCTGTATTCTTTGTCATATGGGGCCATTGAAGTCTCTGCTCAGTTTGCATAGTGGGTATGCCTTGGCACAGATTTTCTTAAACAACTGGAGCCAGGAGGTCTCCCAGTCTTTGTTGAGGGGTCAGTGTTCATTTGAAGGCATGCCTTCAACACTCAATTTGGCAGGTAAAAATTCTTACTTGCTTGCTCATGTGGAGCCTCAAAGTCAGCCGGAGTTGAGAGTTTAGGACTTTTTCAGGTCTTTCCTGAACATATAGTCTGAGGCAGGTGCATAGTCCTGCACGAGTATATGGTCTTCTAGATTACCAGGAATATATCAAAACTTTTCAATGTTCTTATGGATATCTCATTTCTCAGCTTTTCCTTTTAAACTGTTTTGGTCAGCTTATCCCCCCCCCCCAACTGTTATACATGACTGCAGGGAGCCACAACAATTAAATAATTACCTCTTATTGTTTTTGACAAATACTATCAAATACTATCAAATATCAATACTATTTTGACAAATACTGTCTTTTCCTATTGCATGAGCTCAAAATGAGATCAAATAAAGCTAATGTTGCAAGTAGAATCTTTCAGGGAGTTACCAGACATGTCAAAAAATAACGTTTCTCTGAGAATGAACTTTGAAAGAATTCCAGCTCCTTTCTGCTCCCTCTTGTGACTGCAGCAGTGTTGGTTTTGCCATGACTGCAAGCTATTAGTTTTCAGTATGAAGTTGAAGGAGTGGGAGGAATGGAATACTGCAAGTTCAAATGTCAAAAAATTTGCTGATCTTACCAAGATTTAACTATTTTTTTCTTTAATAAGTATTCCCTAGGTTACAGCAATCCTTTGGCTAATTTCCAGAGTTCTAAAAAAATTAATTCTGGCCATTTATTTTTAACCAGTTTCTCCACTGCTTTCATAAAGGAAGAGATAATTTTCAGAGGTCCTTATTCTACCATATTTGCTGACATCATCTACCCTACTATGTTAAAGTATATTAACAGAGATCCTTAATTTCTCATTGTAATTTGAAAGTTTTGAGGAAGGTGGTCATAAACTTGGCAAAGTTGCTTATAATGATTTCTTTGCAAATAAAGATGCTCTACTGAAAAAAGATACCCAGTCTTTCATCAGTAAATATAGCTTTAGAGATGCAGCTCCAGTAAGTGGAAGCTCAAGAAACAGTCAAGAAAAGAAAGCTTTGTAGAGATTTTGTAAGGATAATTTTAGGATGCAAATGGAAGTTGATTTTTATTAAAATGTAATGGGGAACTAAACTTGCAATATATATCCCTGGTTGCATTCTTTGTTAATGTTATATTTCCATATGTCTCTATTTTGTTACTTCAAAAACTCTTCAGTATATTAAAAAATAAAAAAATAATTAAGTTCTTTATGGACATAAACATACTACTTTAGAAGTATGATTTCTTCTTTTAGAAGACAGCACTCTTGACTGAATCTTTTTCTGAGCTAGAAAATGTGCCATTTTTGCCAAGTAAAACAAAAATACATTCTGATATTTGGTTGTAAAGTACATTATCCCCATAGATTAGTAACTGATGTAATGTTTGGGTTGTAGTGAAGTTCCAAATTTCTGGATTATTTCCTGGCAGGATCCTTATGAAGCATGAATACTAACTGCCATCTCTAGATGTAATGAATTTCCTGGGAGGAAGTGTTACAAAGAAGAAATACATTTTTCTGATAATCACAGTCCGCAAGTTTACATACATGTCTCTAAACCATGTCCAAGAAAGGTTGTGGTTGCATCTGTAAAACCACCTGCTAAAATTACATAGCCACATTGAAGTTTTCTGTTTGAGTTTTAAAATTTTATGAACTTTATTACTGTATAGGAATAATATTGCTGGAGAAAGGAAGCATGTGATAGTAAAACTTAGAGATGGAACATTCTCTACTACCCTACACACACTCAAATTAGAATCCTGATAATTGCTGAACAGTGTTCTAAAAACTTTTACATATAAAACTGTTCTAAATACTTTTATGTGTATGTATATATTATTCATAATATATATGTGTGTTTATATATAATGAATATATGTTTTATATTTTTATATATACAATATGTATTATATATAAATAGATATATACATTATACATTTATATATATATATACATATGTGTGTATATATATATATAAAATGAATTCACATTTACATATAAGAAAATAAGGAACTTGCCTAAGACCAAATAGTGGGTAAATGGTTGCAATGAATGTATGCTAGTACTGTCTAATATAATATAATATAATATAATATAATATAAAATATAATGTGAGACTATACATTCATGTCATTTAAATTCATTTATGTGGCTATTCTAGGAGTCTTCAGTTCTTCCACACATCCTGACTCCATAAAATTCCTCCTGAGTAAATGACCTGAAAGTGAGAGAAAGCCCAAGATAGAAATCTTAGTCTTCTATAACTTAATCTCAGAAATGATATACTATCACATCTGCTATATTCTTTTGATTGCCCAGAGAAATGCTGGTACACTCTAGGAGGGGACTGTACAAGGGTGTGACTACCAGCAGACAGGAATTCCTGAGGGCTATCATGGAAGCTACCTGACACAGATATTTAAATAAGTTAAAAAACAACAAAACAAAACAAAAAACAGAGAGAGCCAGAGACATATGAAATTAATTTTAATTAAATATTTTATTAAAATCTATAACTATATTATCTTTTTAACATATAATCATTATAAAAATTATTGAGATATTTTGCATTTTCCTCATGCCAAGTCTTTAAAATCCAGACATATTTCCCCCCCATAGTACATCTCAGTTCAGGCTATGCTAATTTCAAGTAGCCATGTTTCAAACGCTCAGTATAATGCCTCTAACAGTGGTGTTGTATTGGACAGTACCAATACAGATATAAACAGTATGGCTCCCGAGTCTGTGCTCTGAAGCACTTCTTGCTTAATCATAGAAGAAGAGTGAAATGGTCTTTTTGTCAACCAGCATCAGTGTTAGGATGAAGATCCACAGATCCCTTGGATATGTGGCATCCTTTCTAATTTTTCTGTTCTGTGCAGTAAACATTATAATACTAAAAGGATCTAAACTGATTGCTCTCCTAAAATAACATAAAATAGGAATTTTTAGATGACTGTTAGAAAATTCATTAAATATAAAATTTCCTTCATAGGTTTAATGTATTTAAACCATGTTTTAAAGACAGGCTTCAGGCAGTGCTTCTTACTGAAAAGAATTTCTATCAGATAAAGGGATAAAAGAATTTTATGTCAAGTGGACAGTCCATTCCTAAGTAACCTTGTAGCTGCCATGCTGATTTGCCACTCTTCCATAAATACGGTCAGTAATGAAACAGCCCAAATGAATGTAGCAGGTTAGATCTCATGGCATAACAGACAGCATTATCTTCATGTCTTAGTGTCCCATGAGCTCCATGTCTCATGGGGGTGACAATAGAGGAGGACCAGGTGGGTACTAAATGCATAGCATAGAAACACCAAGTTTAGGAAATCTCAAAAATGTGAGGGGCTGCTGGAAACCTGCCAATCTTTGCTCACAAATCTGAACCTGATGCTCTGATGATGTTGTCTGATCGCCCAGAATCAGTTTATCCTGGAGTTAGAGTCGGTTCTTAACAAATCTGAACCTGATGCTCTGATGATGTTGTCTGATCGCCCAGAATCAGTTTATCCTGGAGTTAGAATCGGTTCTTAACACATCAGTGACTTGAAACAATAATTTCCACATTAGGGAGCAATTCCTATTTTCTAGGAAAGGCTTACTTTTTTATTATTTCAGAAATAAACTATGAGGAGAATGTTTTAGAAAATTAAGAGACTTAGATACCAGTCAAAATGATCCATCTCTAAGTTTAGTCTCCTCTCAAAAAGTATTATTTCATAATATTCAAATATTGGTTTTTAACTTTTTTTTAAAGGTTTTTTTTTGTTTTTGTTTTTGTTTTTTTGACAGACAGAGATCACAAGTAGGCAGAGAGTCAGGAAGAGAGAGAGAGAGAGAGAGAGGGAAGCAGGTTCCCAGGAGGGCTCAATCCCAGGACCCCGAGGTCGTGACCTGAGCTGAAGGCAGAGGCCTAACCCACTGAGCCACCCAGGCGCCCCCAAATATTGGTTTTAAACCCCTGTTTTGTAGTTTATGTAGTGAGGTTTTGTTTTCTTATTTGTTTTTTTGTGTTCAGCTAGTTGTACTCACTTTTTAGGAAAATAGGTACTGAGTGTTTAACAAAGGAATGAACATCTTGAGCAAAGCTTGTTTTTAGCTTTTCTTTGTTTTTCTTTGTTTTTCTCCAACATTACTTCTCTTAGGGCAGGTATGATTGGCAATGATGGGATGATGACTAATTATAACTCTATCATTTCCTTTTAGGTTGGCTAATGGGCAAGGCCATCTCTGTTCTTTGGTAAAATCGTTAAGGGGCAAGCTCAGTGTTTGAACAGAGATTTTTCTCTACAGGAAAATTCCAAGCATGTTTGAGTTACTGGAATAATGTGAAGGCATCTTTCTGAGAGAGATGCCCTCAAACACTGTTGATGCTTACCTGAGAACAAAAGCTTTCAGCCACAAGTATTTATTCCAACTTTTCCTAAACAAAAGGACCAAATGTCTCATACAGTTTGTGGCCACAAGTTTTGTGGAGCACAGTGTTTGAGTTGAGCTCTTGTCACTTGCATTCTATTCATTGCAACAGAGTCTCCAGAAAATCACCGCTGAAGAATAAACTGTGAAAGTTTTGTTGTTTGAGGTATAGTTGACAAAAAAAATGTTATGTTCATTTCAAAGAAGTGTTTTAATGAAGGGAGGAATTTGGTCAGATTAATACTTTAGAAAGGTCAAATGGACTTCACAGTGAGGAAGGAAGTTTTAAGAACTAAGAACTTTTACATTCGTGTAGGCAAGAGATGGTGGTGGCCTTCATTACATAGGTGCCAGTGGCCTTAGGGAGAGATAGGAGAGTTGAAAAACATCCTAGCAATAGACCTGGATTTCCCCACTGATTGTTTGATAGAGGGTATGACAGAGAGGAAAATGTCATTAAAAGACCCAGGGTTCTGACTTCAAAATTGGATGGAGGTTGTTGCTATTTTCTGAGACAGAGAGTATAGGGGACTGGAGGGGGAGTGGAGAAAGCAGAAAAAATGAACCATTCAATTTTGTGCATGTTGAATATAAAATTTGAAAAATATCCAGAAGGTCTTATACAGGTCTGGATCTCAATAAAGAATTAGGGCCAGAGACAAAGACTTAGAAGCCATCATTCTTCTGGTACAGGTCGGAGGTCATAATGGACAGCCCTTTAATTGATTGATTTTTGGTTATCATTTCCTTTTTCTGAGAGTAAGTCGCTAATTTTTAGTAAAAGGATCAAGCAGTTTCCAGAAAAATATTAACTTGGCCATCACTTTTAGAAATGAGAATTAGTTGCTAACACATAAAAGGTGAATTCACAAGGAAAACATCAGTTTTGATTTTTTTACCTTATTTTTATATTTTAAAGATTTTATTTATTTATTCAACAGAGGTCACAAATAGGCAGACAGGCGGGCAGAGAGAGAGGGAGAAGCAGGCTACCCGCTAAGCAAAGAGCCTGATGTGGGGCTTGATCCCACGCCACGACCCTGGGATCATGACCTGAGCCGAAGGCAGAGGCTTTAACCCACTGAGCCACCCAGGTACCCCCATTTTTTATTTTTTTGAAAATTTTGTAAAACCAGGGCCATTGGCCTTATATTTTTTCCTGACAACAACAACAAGAGATGGGACAGCCTGTTCTCCATAAGGCCCTTTGTCCAAGAAAATTTGTTTTTTAAACTTGGCCCTTTTGGTGCTTCATATTACCTTATACATTGCATTTAAGATAGAAATTGCAGTTAAATACCCCAAGTAAATGTGAGCAAGAACACAATATTTAAAAAGCAGAGAAAAGGGAAACTGCAAATTTGACCTAGATGAGGCAAGTAGAAAAATAGAATGAAAACTGAGGGAAGCCAAGTAAAGAGAGCATTTCAAAGTAAAGAGCACGGTCATGAGTATAAAGGTAAGATAAAGAATAAAAATGTCCACCAAATGTAATAAAGAGGGATAGAGTAATAGGTAGCTTAGGTGAAAACAGTGAAATGAAGGTGTTAGAAATTACAAAATTAAAAAGGTAATCTTTATTTATTCAAAAGAAAACAATTTCATTGACTCTTAATCTTTTAATTTTTTTAAAATAAAACCACACAAGCATATTACAAATATAAAATTTAGTACCTATTCTAGACTTTCTTTTCTATGCTGCTTATCCTTTATCCTCAATTTTTCACATCATGTTGCTGGCAAATTTCTCACGTCAACAATTTTCTTTGATGCTTTTTAGTGGCAGCGTAGTATATAACCATGTGAATAACTTGTGTAAATAACCTCTATTCTTGTACTTTAGTTTTCTTTCCCTTTTTTTGCTATTAAAAGTAATAAATGCTTCAATGAATGGCATAATAAATCATTGTGTGTATAATCTTTATCTGATTACATTTAAATGTAAAATTACTAGATCAAATTGATTTTTCAAAATAGATCACATCAGTTTGTAGTACAAGTGAATATACTGCATCCTCAGCAATATACGGGTTTTAAGAATTAAATACACCGTTGTTCTCTCAGCATTTGAGTGCAATTGATCTTTGAACACACAGGTTTGAATTGCACTGGTCCACTTGTACACTTTTTTTTTAAATTTTATTTATTTATTCGACAGACAGAGATCACAAGTAGGCAGAAATGCAGGCAGAGAGAGAGGAAGGGAAGCAGGTTCCCCGCTGAGCAGAGACCCCCCCCCCCGATGCGGGGCTCGATCCCAGGACCCTGAGATCATGACCTGAGCGGAAGGCAGAGGCTTAATCACTGAGCCACCCAGGTGCCCCCACTTGTATGCTTTTTTTATCCCCCCCTGAAAAAAAGCTGCCTTGTTTCCATATGGTCCCTGGCTAGGGAGACTCCTGGCTAGGGAAAGGGCTCCAGGGTCACTAAAAAGCTGCACAGGGGCGGAAGGGAGAGGCTCAGGCAGAAGCCCTAACACCAGGGGAACGCCAGAGGCACCCCTCAAGGCCCGCTGGGTCCTGGGGGCTCCTAATTCCTGCTTGATTTTGAGCCTTTCCAGAAACTGGCCCAGGCCAGCCTGCAGAGGAGAGTGAGGTGGCCGCCTACTTCCCGATGCTATTCGCCTCTTATCCGGGAAGTGGCTGGTCAGGGAGTCAGCGGTGGGGTATGGCTGACTGGGCGGAACCCAGGGCCTGCAGATCACCCGCGCCTGGGCAGGTTCTCGTCCAGGACCGTGGCGACCGCGGGGCGTCCTGGGTTTTACCACTTGTCTTGGGGCGGCGTGCAGAGGCCCGGGAAGAGGGCGCGGTTTCCGAGCTGGTTTTGCGTTTGGGAGAGCTAGGAGGCCTCCTGCTTCTCCTCAGTCGACGCCAGAGGACGTGGCCGGGGACCTCCAGAGCCACATCGTCACAAGGCAAACAGGCCCAGAGAGAGGCAGGTGTGGAAGCCCTGCAGATGCGTGTTGTCACTGGAATAATTCCCGTGAATCTGGGGCTCATGGTTGATGGCAATGAGGAGCTAAGTGCACAAAAACAAAACAAAGAAAACAAAACACCAGTGTTGGCTGGTCCTGGAGGCAGGGGATGCTGCGACGATGGCTTTGAAGGTTGCGACTGGAAAAGAGGTTGGAGGGTGGTCCAAGGCTGCCGAAAGGGGTGGCCTTGGGTTTGTTCCCCGATCCCCCCACACTGTTGTAGCAAGAAATGGATCCCCGGGAACCCCCACCGCAGGGCTATACCTGGAACCATGTTGGAGAATCTTTAGCCATTACTTCGTGAAATACTGCTTCTCCCTCTTTGCCGTCTCTCCTTTCATGTGAGGATGCAAGGTCACATAAGACCTTTTCACTGTGGCTAAAATGTCTCTTCTATTCTTATATGTTGAATTCTTTTTATCTCTCTTTAATAGAGAATATTTTCTTCTTTCCTTGGTCCATTTACCAACCTTCTCTTACCCTATGTCCAGAAGTCTTAATCTGAGTTGTTATTTTTCAACTCTAGAATTTAATTTGATACTTTTAATAGATGGCACTTCTCTACTGAAATTCTCCTTGTCTTCTAGTTTCCAACATGTTAATCAAAATTATTTTAAATTGCATGCTTCATAACTCCATATCTGAGCTTTTCAAATTATTAAATCCTAGACATTGTGTTTAAAATACTGTAGAAGTTCTGGCTGCTTTTCCCCAGTGACAGGGTGTTTGCTTTTGTACCGCATCTCAAATGGCTCAGATCACTTTAATCCAATCAGGGGTTGAGGTAACTTTGATCTGGGCTTCAATATTGTAAGGCCTATTTATAGTCAACCCGTTTGTTCTTTTAGGGACTAGGCTTCAGGGACCCCAGCCAAAAACACGGGGTATTTACCAGAGCTCCTTCCTCCCCCTTAGCAGGGTGTGTTTTCCCGCCAATGAGACCCCAGAAAGTGCTGCTTGGTTTTGTCAGCTTTTTACAGATCACTTTCTAACCGGTGTCATACAATCAACTCTATGCTGGTTTTGAACGCGCCAAAACCTGGAGGGAGAAAATGGTGCTAAACAACTCATTTCTGTTTCCCTAGATGCCTTGCTAGCCCCAAATTCCAATTTTTATCTCCTTAGCTATCTGAAACTGCTAGAA